TTCCAATGATTCTACGCTCTGTTCCAGTTGATTTCCTGAAAAGAATTTGCATGCTCCTGTTGCACTTACTGTAATAACAAATACTGCTTCCCAGAGCCATCGTAGCCGGTCTGCCGTGATGTTTGCTTGCCAAAGTTTTGGAAGGCAGAGACATCTGTGCCAACATTTGACTGTTGGCGTTCGTTCTTGTTAACATGGAGCAGATTTTAATTGAATGTGACAGTCATCTTAAAGTCATTTCTTACAAATAACCTCTGTAAGACATCTTCTCTCCCCCCCATGTAACTTGAGTTTGTCTCTGGAGAGTAAGTGGTGGAGAAGGCAAGTCATCGGGTCCCCATCTTGTGGGATGGGAGTGTGGGGAGGGAGGGAGGCAGGAGCCTTGGGGAGCTGAAGGGTCGTGCGCTTGGCACTTGGTAGGGATGAAGTTCTTACAGCTTGGTCAGTGTAAGAAGGGAATTAATAATTTCCATCCAGAAGTTTCCAAGCCCTCAGCTGGTAAATTGATTCCTGAGATGAGGCTCCAGATGAATCACATGGGTCCATTTATCCCTATCTGAGTCCCCCAAGGCCTGAGTGACCCAGATTCTGTAGGAACTTTATACATAGCGTGGGGGCAGCACGTGTGTGAGAGAGCACACGGCAAGGGGCAAAGCCGTGCAGGGTGGCTTACTCTCCCAGCAACCTCTCTCCTGGGAGCTAAGCTGTCCTGAGAGAATCCTGTTAATCCTTCCCAGGTTGGTGGCTTCATGACCTACTTATCTCCTGAGGGGCCCCATCACCTTGGTGCTATTACACTGGAGAGTTCAGCCTCCACGTGAATTGTGAGGAGATAGACATGTTCAAACCACACTACACACTATCTACTCGGAGATCTAGAAGAAAGTAAAAGTTGCAGTTGGCCTCCTGCCGTGCTGGCTTTCTTAGATGAGCTTGCCACTCAGGGCTCTGTTTTGAATGATGTGAGCACGAAATATGTGTGTCTTTTTCTCCTTGCTTATTTTCCCCATTCTCCTCCCCTATCTTCAACCCCTTCTCCCCTTCCTATTTCACCCATGGTTATAACAGCACAAGTGGTCAGAGCTAAATCTTGGAAACAGCCCAAATGCCTATCAGTTGAGGAATGGATAAAGAAGTTTTTTTTTTTTTTTTTTTTTTAATACAGTCACAAAGAAGGATACATTTGAGACATTTCCAGGTAAATGGGTGCACTTGAGACCATGCTTTTTGTCTATGTGTATACTGGAGATCAAATTCAGGACCTTGCACTTGGCAGGCAGGCGTGGAAGCCGCTGAGCTAGCTCTCCTCCAGCCTGTAAGTGAAATAAATTGGACACACATGTGTAAATATCACATTGTCTCTGGTGCGAGAAACCAAAAATGTCAATAAAGATCAAAATGTATACTAGATATTGTCAAATAGGAAGCCAGTGCTCAAAGGGGGAGGGATGAAGGAGGAGGAAAGGGGAAAGGAAAGAAGGAAGAGAAAAAGAATGAGAAAAAATGGAAACAAAGATTTTCTTTAACTTTTATAAGATACAGTTGTATATTAGCAAGTCGTAAATATGCTTCATAAAGAAATGTATCAAAAATTAACAGAAAACTTGTTTTCAAATAGAAATTTTATTTTTTCCTGTACAATTTAGAAGAATATTGAAATTCCTTTTTTTTTTTTTCTTGGTACTGAGGATTGAACTCTGGACCTGGCATTTGCCGGGCAGGTGCTTAAGCTACTGAACTATCTGCCTGACCCCTGGCCCTGAAATGACTTCTTTTTTTTTTTTTTTAATGTATTTGGTTGTTGCAGGGTCTTACTGTGCAGCTTGGACTCATGGTGATCCTCCTGCTTTCAGCCTGCGCAGCGCTGAGATTACCACTATGTGTGCCACTAGGCCTGGGCTCTATGGCCCACTCAGCCCATCCTGGGGGTGGGCTGGCACAGCATGTGGAGCCCGGGATTGAACCACGGTCCCTGGGCTTACCTCAGCTTGCCTAAGCGGATGCTTTCGTCCATTGAGCTATCTCCCCGACCCCTTTTATTACTTCTTATTGGCACATAGAAACTTCATTTCCCATAGGTTAAGTTCATAGATATCTATCTAAATTTCACTTTTTCATTTAATTTTTTTTATTTTTATTTTTTAAATTTATTTATTTATATGCGTGTGTGTGTGTGTGTGTGTGTGTGTGTGTGTGTGGCCAGCTCAGCCCACCAGGGGGCGGGGCAGGCTGGCATGTGGTGCTGGGGGATTGAACCGCGGTCCCTTGCTTTGCTTAGCTTAGCTTGTTCTAAGTAGGTTCTTTAGACCACTGAGCCATCTCACCAGCCCTTAATTTTTTTTTTTTTAAATGAACTTCTCTGTTCTGGTCCCTGGGAATAGATGACAGTTGGGATAGGGCTTATATCTACAGCAAACTGCCATTTACTTCTTTCTTTGGTGGAACCAGGGAGTGAACTGAGGCCCCTTGCGCTTGCCAGGGAAGCACTTATTCTACTGAGCCATCCCCCTGGCCCCAATTTACTTATTTCTTAAAATGTTTTTAAAATTAATTTTATCAATACATTTTAGTTATACATAATGATCTCATTCATCCCAGGACATCTCTACCTGAACATGATGTATCGTGGTTCTTCTTTTATTCCCCATTCCCTTCCCCTTCAACCCTTCTTCCCTTATTTATTTACAGAAGCTTTGTTTCCATTTTTCCATTTTTTTTCTTCCTTCCCCCTTGTTCTCCTATTTGAACATTTTCTTCCTATTTCTCAATATCTGTTATAAAATTCTCATAGCAGAGAAATAGTTCAATACTTAAACATGGGTGATTTATTTCTTTTAAGACTATTGTCTCATGGTGCATTCATTTACCTGGAAATGTCTCATTTATCCTTCTTTATGGAAGAGTAGTACCCCATTATGTAAAAGCCCACATTTTGGACCAGGGATATATAGCTCAGTGGCATAAGTGCACGGCAAGCACAAAGTCCTGAGTTCTGTTCCCGGAACAAAACTTCCCAGTGAAATAAAACTCCACATTATTTATTTATTTATTTATTCATTCATTCATTCATTCATTCATTCATTTTTTTTTTAAACCATGGATTGAACTGAGGGCCTTGTGCTAGCCAGACAGGTGCTTAAGCCACTGAGCTCTCTCCCCAGCCCAAAACTTCACAGCTTCTTTATCCATTTGTCTGTTGATGGGCATTTTGGATCCAAATATTAAAACAGAAACACTAAATCTTCTGGAATATAGAACAGATAGATCTCTAGGGGACATAAGTAAAGGCAAAGAGTTTATGAATGGGGCCATAATCTCTTGGGAAGTACTGTAAAGAATCAACAACTGGGATCTCATGTTAAAAAGCTTTTGCATAGCAAAAGAAACCAACAGAATTAAGAGAACCCACAGAATGGGAAAAAAAATTGCCAGCTATTTCTCAGGCAAAGGACTATTATCTACAATCTATAAAAAACTAAAAAAAAAAAAATCAGATCTCCCAAAGTTAAAGATTTAATCCAAAAATGGGCATCTGAAATGAGTACTTCTTAGATGATGAAGAAAAAATGGCAAATAAAAACATTAAAAAATGTTCAGTATTACTGGGCACTTGAGAGATACAAATTAAAACAACACAGATCCATCTCACTCCAGAAACAGTGGCTATCATCAAGAAATCAGTAACAAATGCTGGTAGGGCTGTGGGGAAAAGGAGCCCTTCTCTGCTGCTGGAGGGAGTGCAGACTGGCGCAACCACTGTGGAG